AGTTGAAAAATATTTGTGCAACAGTTTTCGTTTCAGGAACGAACAAGATAACAGCCTGCTTGATTGAATACAGGAAACATTCATATTTATCTGAAGTATATAACCGCTGAAATTATTCAAATTTTAAAATTTGATAAAGAATTAAATTTCGGTTGGATTGATCATAATTTTTAGTTTGCGTATAGTTATTGCATATAAAGCTTGCTCAGTTAAGAATATGTAAAAATGTTCTAATAAAACGAGAAATCAATATGTTTTCACTGGACAAACAAATTTTGAATGCATCCACACAGCAGTCATTACCTGCTTATAAAAATTTTCCTTTGACAAACGTTTCAAGGTGAAAATTTAAAAGCTAAAACTTTATTAAAATCATCTTACGCCAGAAAAACCTTTGCAGAACCTTTCTAAATGGAGATTGTCAAAAGTTAACATTATATATATCTACATGTATGCATGCATATACACAATAGTTCTTTAATTTGCTTGTTCGTTTTTTTTAATTTTTCTCTATATACTTTATTTTTTACAAAAATCCAACTTCTGTCAGACTAAAAATGCTAATGTTAAAATTAAGTATGAATGTCAAAACATCAAAGGTAGTTTTGGTATGTATTTAATATCTATGTATGTGTGTGTATGTATGTACACATACAAACGTATGTATGTATTCACTGTGTATGCAAAACATTAATGTACATATTAACACGCATGCTTGTACAGGTCTGCATGTTGAGAGTGGAGGAGCACTTATGCATGCGCCATAGATATTTTTTATTTGCTCGTACAAAGCATCATTCAGTCATTTAGTTGCGTGTGCCTTGCTTATTTTGCTGAAATAATCCCATCATTAAGAATGGTAACATCAGCATTAACAAGAAAACTTTGAAAGCATTAACAGATTACATTAGTTGCACGTTATCAATACGATCGTTTATATTTTACTTTCGTAATGGTAAATGGTAAAACTATAATAATAATAATTATTATTATTATAAAATATTTTAATTTTATACATTAATATTGATTTTGTAGCTAGTTTATTAGCAATGAACAATTGAAAGAGGGAATTTTTCCGATTAAGTCACTAAATCAAAACTCTGAAACTAACAGTCACGCTTCCGCCACTTTCTACCACTGTCTAATTACAAATATCAATGAATCATCGTTAACAGTCGAAGATAGACAGATCAACGTGAAAATCTGGTCTAAAACTGCCTGAATCCATGAACAAATAGAAAGTGGCTAATGCTTATTTTCAGTCAATTTTAGAAGCTAAATATAAAAAATATAGTAAAGTTGTTAAAATATTGTCGTGATTAAAAATTGATCCAAATGTAGCAAATTCAACACCAAATATGCAAATGTTTTAGCAAAACCTCTATAAAAGATAATTAAAAAATTTGAAAATCGAACAAGTTGATGAAATAAAATTTGTCTTAAGATAAATTAGATCTTTAATTAAAAAACGCATAGTACCAGTAAATTAAATAGAAAAAAATTTAAAAAAAACTTTGGCAGACTTGCAAAAAGTATTCAACTGGGATTCCAATAGTAGGACCTTCATTCATTTGACTTGATTTCATGTGAAACGTGCTTTACAGGTACCGTGAAGCATAGGTACAACTTATACTTCATAAAGTATCGAAGCATTGCCTTTTGACAATTTTTCTATATCTTTATAGATCCCGAAATTTTCAAGACCAAGATTGATAGATGAAGAAGTAACAGACCTAACGTATTATGGGATAGCAAGAGCTGTTAAAGAATCATAACACTGGTAACATATGTTTATGTCTAATAGGCCATATTTCAATAATAATTACCAAAAGATGTCCAGTTGTCCGTACTCTTTTGCTTCATGTAGTTATGGAATGTTGGAATAAAAAAAAATCAAATTGCTAGAAACGTGCTGCAACAATTTATTATTTATTTATGATTTATTATTGTTTTTGTTTATTATATCAACAGCTGCATTAGCAATATATATATATATATGTTGGTAATAGACCATAATTTTTACAATATTCTATAAATTCTACCGAATGTTTGGCGTTAATAAGTTTGTAGTTCGTTTTTTCGATTTTTCTCACTAAAGTTTTTTGGTGAACGTTTAGTTTATTAAAATTCAAAATAAACTTATTTTTCGAATTCATGCTGCAAATAAGGCCATATTTCGATTCCGAATGAATCATCGTCAGTGCTCCTTTGTTGGTGTTAAAAATTAACACCAAAGTTAATTTTTACAACGTCAAAGTTAAGCTTGACAAAGTCAATATTTCCCTATATAT